CTAATTGTGTGAAGTTGGAGAGGCCAGGTGTTTCTGTCTGGCCTAACAGCTGCACTTGGTGGTAAGGGCACCACCTGAGTTTCAGTCTGGCCATAAAATGAGGCTGATGAAACAGCACCTTGCATGAGTTTTTAGGTGAAAGAACAGAACAGAACATGTTTAGAATTCTTCTCCCTTCTAATAAAACATCCATTAACGTTTATGAAGGAGTCTGGATGAGGCATTGTGCCAGACCCTCTTTTCTTTATTTTCCACAAGAAAACTACACCACGAGCATGGGTTCAACTGTTATTCACGCACCTATACTCTGTGGAAATATGCCTAAGTTGTCACCTCCTGCCTTGTTACCTCTTGCTTCCCCATGGCTAGGCCGAAATGAATCTTCAAGTGTTCATCTGGGGTGAGCATTTGCTGGTCTTGTCACCTTGTGTCCATCTCCACTTCTGATAGCAGTGCTCCAGTGTCCTTTAAGGGTGAACTTACCCACTTCACATTGTGTACTGACCTGGTGTGGCTGTTAGTCAGTGCTACTGGCTCAGGAGTGTGCATGGCACTCAAATTAAGTCAAAGGTGTTCTTTGCCTGGTATGCTCAGTTTAAGAGCAAAGCACTCTAAGGGCAGACCTTCAGCTGTGCCTTGGAGAAAGAACATCAGTTCTACTCCCTAGGTAAGTTCTGTTTCCATCCTGAGAGTAGTGGTTCTGGCTTCCCTTTGACATCTTAGGGAATCCCTGAGGTTGTATTTTGTTTTCTGTTGCTATACACCTAAAGAAACTTAACTATATACAATAGAGCACTGTGATTTAAACACTAAACAATAGCTAACATTCATAGCCTACTCTGCAGCTTATAAAGTACTTTCACATTCAATTTATCTCTTTTAATCAAACTTTCTGGAACTGAATTTTTCTCCTGCCCCCAAATAAATCACTTATTGATTTCTCTATTTCTCACAAAAGCACAATCATTCTTTCAGTCACTTAAGTTTTTTTAAACCTCAGAATGATTTCGACTTTTTGCTTTTACTAACTCCCTATAATCAGTCACCTCATCCTAAATACGGGATCTCCCAGATTGATCCCTTTCCAATTTTCCTGCCTCCATTTTTGTCAAAACCGTCAACTTTCGACAATGCCCAGCTCACCCTGCCACCAGCCCCCTGTCTCCAAACCATACCAACACCACTGTCGGAAGGATATGACTAAAATTTATTATCATTGTGTCATACTTCCTCTACCTGGGGTTTACAGAAAAAAAAAAAATGCAGGACAATGATTTACTGGACAGTTCCTTAACCTAAATCCTGGGCTATTGATAAGTAGGCTCCAATATGCTCTCCTAACATATTATTTTCAGCAGAAAACACCTGCTAGATACACGTATCCTCAAACATGTAGTAGATCACAAAAACTCGTTCTAATTTTTTGCAGCTCCTTCTCATCATAAGTGGACTCTTTCTATACCCCTTGAATCTGGTGTAACCTTCTGATTTGACATGGCTAATGGGAGAGTAGCTAATGTGATTCAAGGTGAAGCTTTAAAGTTGCTTTTGCATTGCAGGTTGTTCTTTTGCTGCTCTTACAACACTGTTTGATTTGCCACGTAAAGAAGGTGAGGGGATTGATTGCCGGAGAACGGGAGGTACATATCCCAGCCACTTGTTATGTTACCCTGGCCAACAGTCTGATAACTGCCAGACATATAAGTAAAGCCATTCACAATTACACCACCAGCAGGGAACCTAACTAAGAATAGCAGAAGAACCATCTTACTGAGCCCAGCTCAAATTGCTGACCACCAGAATCATGAGCTATAGTAGCAATTTTAAGTAACTGCATTTTGTGGGGATTTGTTATCCAGCAATGAAAAACTGATATAACATCTAAGCTAATTTGATCACTCTCTCCTCAGAGATTTTCAATTACTATTTAGCATCTTAGGCACTCGATTATGAAATGTGTTCTTTGATGTTTTGTGTCATTTAATTTTCCATGGGTCCTATTTCCCATGAAAACGTTCCTTGTGAAAAGACTATGCATTTTATATTGCTGTATTACATATAAGCAAAAAGTAATTGCACAATAACTATTTAGGAATCAATTAGTACTTTCCCAGGGCCCAGCTGTCAGTCACATCAATTAAAAATTATTTTAACACATATTTTGATCATTAATTTCAAAAATGTAAAAAACAGCTAAGATGCAAACCATAAAATATAAAATCTAGTTACCTAACCCGTAAAGTGCAAAATCATGCATAGTATATATGATATAAGCAAACAAGTTATTGATTCATTTTCCATAAATAACTTCCTGCAAGTGAATCTGCATAGAAATCAAATGGGCGCAAGGAAATAAGTACATAAGGGTAAAAGTTTCACAGAAGCAACTATTTGATTTTCACCAGGATATCATTTTTCTCCCAAGACACATATTTCTCCTATGTGGTTTGCAACTGTAACCTGACAAACTGCCAAAAACAAAGCTTCTATTCTAAGAGTGTTACTGATTCTCTTGTTGCTATTCAATTAGATTTTGCATTTAAAAGAAAAATTCCCTTGTGTTTCCTATAATGATGCACCTGCTTCTTGGGAGATTTCCTCTTTTGACAAGACATGCCTTACATCTGGCAAGAAAAACAGCTCCAGGCTTTTTCTGATAATATCAAGGATCATTTGTTTGTATTAGATGTTTGTGTGGGTTTCCCTTAAGAGCAGTAAAGTACTGCTACAATTTCTTCCAAAACAATAGCACACACAGTTTCTTGGCTTGCATTTCCACTGTACACCTGCACCAGAACAACTGTCTGGAATTAGCAAAGTTGTGACAAAGTAGACAGAGAAATGCATTTGCTTTAGTCACTTCCTTTTGGATATCAACAAATGGTAACAGTCAAATTCATGAATGCAACATCATTTCAAATCTACTATCTGTAACCTTTCTTCATGAAACGCTTGCTATGGAGAAAATGAAATTTATACTCAAAATTATACCCCTTCTTTTCAAAATCCCATTCTGTATTTTATTCTAACTGAGATGTCCAAAAGATTCTTAAGAGAAGCACTATCTTCTACTTTCTGATTCCAGACCTGTTAATGCATACATATTTAGTTATGGGTAATCCTCAGTTAATACTCCCTTTCTAGAGAGACTTCCGCGATCAGTACCAAAATACAGCACCTTTCAAATAGTCTTGAGGACTCCTTAAAGGTGTCTCCTTGTACTCTAACCATGCTGAATGTAATTTAACATTGAGATGCATTAGAAACAGCCAACAGACTTTCTCTCCCAGATGTGTACACATTAGCATACTGCTTTCCTACACCTTGTTCTTTGCTTTTTAAATTTTCAATATGTACAAATGAAATACAGATTTCAACCCATTCCCAATTGAGATGTCTGCTCCATAAAAGAAAACTAGGTTTTTCCCTTCCTGCAGATTCAGCAACGAAAGTAGTGCTTGAAAATTACGTGTTTAGAGTGACACCTTGGAGAACTGACATACTTTGCACACATGTAATCCTCATAAACCTCCCCAGACAGCCCTTATTTCATTTTGCAAACTGCACCCTGGCCAGGCTCCACGGCACGTGGTGTGTGGCGAGACTGTCCTGCAGCAGTTCTCTCTTCCTCTGGGCTCTTTGATGGGCACTTGTCAGTAACAGCCAAGAGGAATCGGACCCTGCCTCCAGCAAGTGAAAAAGGGGCACCGACAGTAATGCTTCCTTAATTAACTTTCCCAAGGAAAGCAACGTTACCACAGGAAAAAACAACACGTTTCCCCCCTCCTAGAGGTCCATTGAAAATGAGCAACAATGCTGTTGCCTTTTTGTTTCCTAAGACTTTCTTCGCTGCAAGCAGTAGCGTGTTCCTCAAAGAATGCTAGTATTTCCTGTGGAAACTGTATGGCTGCCAGTAATGGCTCATAATTTTCCCTCTTTTCTTTTCGTAAAAATGAAATAAACAAAATGTGGCCTTTGACAATAGCCAAAATTGGGTTCACCCCACTTACCACCTGCAGATGAAAGTCATCGCCAAGAGAGAAGGCCAAGAGAGAAACAGTCCCCGCTGAAATTGACGCGGACCAGCCTGGGACGCAGGACAGCATTAGAGGGAGGCTGACAGAGCCCGGGCTGGACAGGGCAGTCGGGGAGCCCGTGCTGATGAGCGAGGGGCGGCAGCAACACCAGACGTCCCTCTTCTACAGCTATTGCTACCGTTGTTAGTACCGTCGCTATTACTATTACTTCGCCCCTCCTTACCTCAGCTCTTCCGAGCCGCGGCACTGCCCATCCCTGCCTGCGATACGATCCCGGGTGGCAGCAAGAATAAGAACCACATGAGGCAGGCAAATGAAAAGAACAATCCTTTGGAAACCGAGGCGGGGGTTGTTTCCCCCTTTCCCCAGTAAAACAGCCGCTGCCGCCACCACTGTTACTATAGAGACCTCCCCCCAAACCCTTTCTGCAGAGACGCCTCTGCTGTCCCAAGCAGCCGAGACTCGCGGCACAAAGGGGGCCCCGGGCTTGGGGAGCACGGGGCGACACCCGCCAGGGTCGCCTGGTGCAAACTTGGAAAGGCTGAGCCGCCAGCTCCTCGCCCCCCGCCTCCCCGCGGGGTCCGTTTGGGACCTGGACTCACCCGGGGCGCCACGCGCGCCGGCGGCTCAGGAGCGCGAAGGGACTGACGGACCGACGGACGGACTGCGGCGGCGGGAGCAGAACAGCCTCGGCGGGAGCAGGCGAGCGGCGGAGGCGCTGCCGCGGCCCCGCTACGTCACAATGCGGCCCGGCCGCGGGCGCAGCTCCCTGGGCCCCCCAACGGGCGCGCGCGGGCGGGGGCAGCCTGGGCGGCCGCCGGCCGGAACCGGCGCTGGGGTACGCGGAACGCAGCGCGGGCGCCCGGCCGGGGACGGGGGCGCGGCCACCACTGCCACTGCCGAGGCTGCTGGGGCTGCCGCGCCCTCAGGCTGCGCTGCGCCCCTGCGGCCGCCCCCCGGCCAGCGAGCCCAGCTCAGCCTGACTGACAGTGACCCTCCCCGCTGGGCCCCCGGCCCGGCCCACGCCCCTCCCTCGCCGCTTCCTCGCCCGGGATCCCCCGGCCTGCCCGCCGGCTCCTGTTCACGAACCTGCTCTTTCTTTACCTTTCGCTCTTTTTACCTCGACTGCCATTGCTTTTCCCCAACTGGGGCTCTCCTCTCCTCCCCGCCTACTTTTTGTCCCCGCTTCCCACTTTTCTCCTCCTGCCCCCCCTTCCTTGCTTCGCGGCCTCTCCCCCTGGAAATCGCCCCCTCACCGTGATCCAAGCGTCAACCGCTGCCATCTCATTGGTCCCCAGACCATTCCAGGGTTCCAGCATAAACCGGGAGAAGAGACTCAGGAAGGCGGGGAACGGAAGGTGGGCATGGCCCTGGGAAACTCGTGTCTGAGAAGCCTTTTGGCAGAGTATTTTGCGTTGGCACGGAGTCGTCACCCCCACCCCTCTCCCCGAAGCTCGCCCACCCCTGAGGACGTGGCCAAGGAGAGGAGGGCACGGGTGGCTTTGCCTGCCTGGAATGTTCTGTGCTCAAGTGTGGGTGGATGGAGAAGATCTTGGGCTGAAATAAAGACTTTTTAATTCAACGACGTTTCAATGTACCAATGGCCCTACAGTAATATTAACTTTACTTTTATTGTATCTTAATTGTTGAGGGATTGGGGGTGGGAGGCTGCTGGATGAGGAGTCAGCAACGCCTGCAGTGGTGACTACTTCTTTCCTTATTTCCGAAATGAAATCAGGGGTTGTGGAAGCATTTATGGTAACCTTGGCTCACGACTGTCTTGCTGTTGCCCTCTGGAAAGCTTTAAATGATCTTTGAGAAATCTCTTTCCCAGGCGAGATGACTCGGAGAAGTTCACTCAGCAAAGCCATTGAGGACCACACTCTTGTTCCAGGGTATGACTGCTTGCCTGATGCTGCCCCAGAGAAAAGCGTGAGGAAGTAAGTCTTGGTCAGTTTAGAGGCATCTTCATTCCCTTGCCAGTTCCAGAGGACAAGAGCAGTGCCAAGATCCTGGGACACCCGGCACTATCTGGGTAGTAGCAATGGGGATGTGTGATCTTGTTACAACAAAAAAGGAAGGCTCTGGTTGTTTAAAGCTGGGGTTTCCTGAATAACTAGCCTAAGACTGCCTTCAGTCTTTGTGGAGTCCACAGGCTGCGCTGTACTAGGAGGGCATAGGCAGAGTAATGCTTGCCCTGGACCTGTTTGGACCAGGACCATCGTCACTGAAATGAGGACTACCTTGAATGCCAGCGGAAGACATTTCACATGTGTCTAATTCCATTTCCTACTGAAACCTAAATGTCTTTCTTGGCTGTTGACATAAACAGCCAAGATCATGTCCTGTGCTGTTGTAATTTGTTTATTGTAATTTATCGTGTGTAAGACTTAAGTACATACATGGAAAGTGGCTTCACAATTTTAAAAATACACATTATCCCCCAGTAGAAAATATAAAATTGGATGACATCATGTGGCACTAAAAATACTTGAAAATATTGGGTTTGATTTGTTCACATCTGGTTAAAATAAAACTGCCTCTTTTTTTTTTTTTTTTCCTAGTGTAAATTTTGAGAAAAGCACATCTTGCTTTCATCCAGTAGATATGGATGGGATTGGTGTCACCCTTGACATGATCTACAGAGAACATACTTTATTTCCATTCTCTTAAATATTTTGACACCCTGTTTTTGAAAATCATTTTAATTTATTGAAGGATTCATTTACTGAAGAATTATAAATGGTCATCTCCTTCCAACTGTCCTAAATATTCATTAGCTCTGGTCGAGCCAGGTGTTAATTCAGTGTAAATGATTCAACAAGAAGGGGCCTGATACTGCTGTATGTACAGAAAGTGGGTTGTCCTGGGAAATAAATAAAGTGTTTTTTGTTGTTGTTGTTGTTGTTGTTTTTTTTTTTTTTTGCATAGCCAAGGGAATAGCATGCCACAGTGTAAAAGAGCAATCTTTTGAGTTGTTGTTTCGGATATTTTCCTCTATTTTTTATAGTTCTTTTGTTATTTTTTTTGGTTTCTAACATGTTTTTGATTACATATTTAGCATTGTTTCCATGTGATTGTTTTTACAGTGTGATTTAAATCTAGGCTTATATACACTTTCCCACATAGGCTGTGTGTTTGCTTTCCTTGGACTGTTTATTGGTTTGCTTCTCCTGTACATACCCTTGCCAAATTCTAACTACAAATTGATATACCAAAGTGTGGAAGTAGTCCTTATGTTGCTTCTTACTGACAACCAGTTTCTGGCATTCAGTTTTCTAATCAAGCAGCTGCCTCTATGGGCTAGTTATTCCCTAGACGTGGCTTAGCAGCAGCACAACCACTGACTCATTTACCATTTTTTAGGATGCCCCACCCATGCCTGCCACAGCACAGGGTGTACTCCTCTTAAAGCACTTAGCATACTTCTGTTTCTTGTCTGTTTCTTATCCCCTTCTATTCAATTGTCAGTTCCCATCATGATGACAGGGTGTACATATTACTCATATTTGGATCCTCAACACTGAACACATTTTTATACTCAAGAGTTAGCTACTGAAAATAATTAGTACAAAAATGCATTTCACTCTGTATATCATCTGCCAAAGAGCTGCCAGTAATTTGTTCATTTAATTATTACAATTAAACATCTGTCTCCTCTATCCTTTTACCCAATTTCTATAAATATATCTTTATTGTGCTACAGAAATTGGATAAAACTACCATAACACTATTGATGATCAAATAGAAAAAAATCTTCCTTATTTTTTCTATTTTTAAAGTGTAGATTTGACTTAACCATCCAAATCTATGGTAAAAGCTCAGATTTTTTATTCTCATTGATGAGTCTGGGTCATTCTGATTCTGTTTGGGAACTGTAATTGGTCAGGTCAGGCTGCTCTTTTATTCTGGAGTTGAGTTTTATTTGCTTGGCTCCCACTGTATATATGTAATTATAAGTTATTTATATCAAGAATCAGACTAAATATTTATGCAAATTTGATTATATCCATCAGGATAGGTTAGGTTGTGCTGCAGTAACAAATAATCCCATAGCAACAACCCCAAACTTCCATAGATTAATAAAAATGTATTCCTTGCTCTCACTGTACAACAGTTGCCCATGGGCTGCATCTTTACTTCATGTCTTTCTCACTTTAAGACTCCAGCCCAAGCCAGGTATAGTGGCCCATGCCTGCAGTCTCAGCACTTTGAGAGGCCAAGGCAGGAGGAAACCTTGAAGCCCGGAATTTGAGGTTACGGTGAGCTATGATTCCTCTACTATACTCTAGCTTATGAGACAGGGTGAGACCTCATCCACCCACTGCCTCAAAAAAAAAAAAAAAAGAAAAGAAAAGACTGCAGCCCTGTGGAGGAGCCACTAACAACAATATTGCTGGTAATTCTAGATAGAGAAATACATCCCTCGAATATTTTATACTAGGAATTAAATGCTTCGGCTCGGAAGTTACACAAATCACTTCTGCTCACAGCTCATTGGCCTGAACTAATTGTGTGGCTCCACCAAATCACAAGAGGACAAAGAAGTGCAATTCTTACAATATTAGAATAATCCTAGAATATTTGGTAATAATTAGAATATTTGGTAAATAATCCTTAGAATATTTGGTAAATAATAATAGGAAATATGAACATATTACACTTCACTGTAGATATTATAAAACATGAGAAAATTCTCTGGGTATTTTACATAAAAGCCAGAGAGCTTAAGTATAAATATGGATGCTGAAGAGAAGTATAAATTCTATAGTAGTTTTAATTTCTGAAATAACTGCAGAAAAAAAAGAGTAAAGAACTGTGGACTTCAATAAAGAATGATTAGGAATCCAGTGTTTGAACATTTTTGAGTTTTACAAGTAAAGAAATCATTATAGAAAAACGTGGAGTTACCTAGTTTTCTAGCAGGTTTTAGGTCACGCTCACATGTTTCTCTCCACCTCCTTTTACCTGAACGTGCTTCCCTTATCTTTTTCTTTAGGCCGGGGCACATCTTTTTTGCCATGTGTGTCCTTGTGTGCTCGAGCTGGGTGTGACTAACAATTTGATATTCCTCACCTGATCTGTTTTTTGTGATCACTTTTCACTTTTAAAAAGTTATTTTCCTTCAGTATTTCTTTTTTTCTCTCTTCTTGGGCCAAGTGTTAGTATTCTGCATCTTCTTAGCACCTCTGATAGTTATAATGGGGAGGGAGATGAAATCCAAATCCAGAAGTTTGACTGCTTATAATATAACAGCTTTAATAAAAGATTTAGTGTAGAAGAAATCTTATGGATTGTTAATTGGATTCCCTGAGATTATCCTGGGATTCCAATTAATCCTATTACTCTGTTTTACCCATTCCTACACATCATTCATCAGCAGCTTTGTTGTTGGTATTTTAAATGGAAACTATTGGACATGTGAAAAAACACAATCAGATAAATGAGTGTCTTGCCATGTGTTATGAGGCATTTTGAGGCAAATATATAGAGAGACTATCCACAAGGGACTAACGCGTTTTCTGGAAATCATGTGATTTGGGGACTATGATCTTTCTGCTGTGCTTATCTTCCCTAATGAGTTACCATCAGAGAGTACAGTCAATCTGTGTAGCAGCTAGAATACAGGCAGGAACTATGAATTTCAAACTCCATTCAGGCAGGCAATGTATAGACTTCATGACTGGATTGAACTACTCTTACTTTAACCCAACAGCTGGGATTTGGCAGGTTAGCACTGAGGCTGACTTGGGCTCACTCTCCACCTAAGCCTTGAGGGACTCTTTTCCTGTCCTCACTCAGCGTCATCTGTAAACCTTCAATTTTGATTGAAAAGTGGTATTTCTACAGCTACCTGAGCCCCACTGGACTGGTTGCTTTTCTCAGGGATTCTATCCACATTGTCTTCAACAGGTTGCTTTTTCCTGGATACTTCTACTGAAAAGCCTTTACCCTCCCAAGGTGGCCAAATTCAGGTGTATTTGAATGACTCCCCTTGGGTCACATCACATCTCCCTGTCTGTCCACTGTTGCCCCTGGTCTGAATGAGGTTTTCAGTGACAACGCTGAAATCTACCTGAGCCTGGTGCTCCCAGAAAACAGTGATGATTGAAAAATCCCTCAGTTTTTTAGTGTTCCAGGAAATGGCTCACCACAAAAAGCCACCCTTGCTCATGTGACTTAAATAAAACTCACAGCCCATTCTTTCTCACGACCCCTATAAGATTCACAGATGACTCCTTTGTTTACCTAGGACAAGGCCAAACACAGACTTTCCCCTTTTTGCCTGTATGTGCTGATAAGACCAGACACAGGCGCTTCAACTTCCCATTCTCTATCTTATGAATGATTAGCTGAGATTAAAACTGTTTGTCCCTCTGAAACTTGCTAGACACAGAGATAAACATTTCCTCTTCAGCTAACTGACCTAGATTCCCCTGACTGCAAAACCACCCAAACAATAAATCATCCCACCTGTAATTTGTCTATTCTTCCCAATAAAAGTCTAAGGGAAAATAAACCTACAGAAACATCCTGATATTCAGATTTAGGGTGTTCTTCTATTATAAGGGCATGAATAAAATCAATGTTCTCTGGTTCTCTTCTTTGACACCATCATTTCTCCCTTTGTATTCTACTGTTTTTTTAAAATCTTCATTAATAACTACTTTAGTCACTAATGTAAATTGATATCATGGATCTGTTATTTAACCAAAAAGTGGTTATTTTAATAGCTGAGGAGTGTTTAAAACCCAACAAATTGTACAGACTTATTTAATTTTTTCTTAGGTTTGTTTTCTCTATTGGTGAAATAAATAGCCCTCCTACATCAGAGTATTCATCCTGGGGATAAATGAATATGCCATACCCTTGCTGAATGGGCACCACATTTATTTTCATAACATGACATATGTGTATAGCAATATCTTAGTTATTACATATGCAAGCAAGTCCTCTAGTGGATGCTATACCATAGAATTACTATACAAAGGCTTCCAAATTAGTAATTTGCCTACTGGGTTATACTACTTTCCAACGTGGGCAATAGGAAAGAGAAATATTTTCTATGATACAGGCCTAGAATGGGTGCTTTCAACAACTGGTATATCTCACAGATTAAAGACTATGTAAGGCGAGGGGGAGAAGGGGATGAGAGACATCTATAGGGAGGGGCACCTATACTTTCCCTCCCAGAATGACTCCCTGATTATAGGCCAACATGCAGAACACCAAACATCATCTCGGGTAGTCTGACCTTGATTGGGGATTTCCAGTTTCAGGGAAAAAAAATGAGAAAGTTCACTTGAGACTGAAAAATTGGGAAATCTTATGAAATTTATATTCTGTAAACATGGAGTACTCTTAGGCAAGGGCACATTTAGACACTAGAGATTTCACACGTGTGCAAAAACACAGATTAAATCTCTAACTGAAGGTTTTGGTATTTGAAATAAATTTGATTAGGTTGTTTAAAAAGGAATGCAGGTCAGCCGAGTGTGGTTAAATGATTTGAAGAGGAATGCAGGTCAACCTCCGAACATCATGCCACATGCATGTGGACCTGACATGGCTGCAGACTATAAAACCAATGAAAATACATTCTATTGATTACTTATCAATTGTAACAGCATTATATTTTTAATTGCTTCTGGTCCTAGAGGTAACTATTAAGTCTCCTCTCTTCATTTAGATAATAATTGTACTATAGCATATAATCTGTGCTTTGATATTACTACGATATAAATCCACTGATATAGTTGGATTCAGAGTTTCTGTTGTCTTTATAATACAAGTAATTTATCATTTTACTTATCTATTCCAACTTGAGAGTAAGGACATGCATTTGGAAATAATTAGATTGGTTTATGGATGATGCACATGGCTATGAAATGGACAAAGG